TTTTAATCAGGTTTAACATGGGGTATAAAAATGTCCTTTTAGAAAGTTTACGCTTAATCCGGTATTTTTAATTTTTCTTTTTAAAACTCGATCGATAGAAAATATTTAGGGCGTTTTCTTAGAGTCTTGTGAAATTAAATATTACAAGACCACATTATTTTTAGATTAGATCTTGACAATATATTGTTGACAATTGTTTTGCAATTATGGTCGACTACACGAGGGTTTCTTTAATATTCACACTAAGCAGTTATGAAGTCACACCATTTATTTCACTCAATTCATTTCGTTTTTCGCTCTACACGTTTCAAATATAAGATCTACGAAACGCATAATTTATCTGGATTATGATTTAGGCCAGATGTATTTTAAAAAAACACGACCATTTTTAAAGTAATTATGGTCAAATCAATTAGCTATGTAAAGTCGGTTTGCATCAAGAGCAAAGTGTAACACCCTCAGGCTAATTTAATTTAAAACTTAATAAAGATCCAGGGGGGTATACGTATTCCTAGAAAAAATAGATGGGGGTGTGCGGCCCGCTTCGCAAAACGCTTACCCTATTTACAACCAAAATCTGAGATTTTCCCTACCCTATTTATGACCTGACCAAAAATTCGATAGCCTGTTTAGGACCTGACCTTTCAATCAAACACTATTTCAGACCTCCCTTATGATGAGTTCCCTAGTTCAGACCGATGTTAAAGGCACTGTGAAGGGCTTTTGTTGATGGTTTTATCGATAATGATAAAAAAGTAGCTTCCTCTAACAAGCATAGCCGATTCAAGACTAGAGTGCAAAAACCATACCCTATTTGAGAACAAAATGGCTAAACTCCTTGCCCTATTTCTGATCAAAACGGCTGAAAACCCATACGCTCTGCGGCCGCACATACCGTGAAATAGCCCATGTAAGGGATAGTCTCCCCCCCGATAAAGATTGAACAGCGTCTTCACTTTTGCATGATTTATCAGCCACACAAACGAAGCAAAGCATGATGCGGATACATCGTACATGACATATTATTTAAACAGTGTGTCAGCTTTCATCTGTGTATGCACCTCGCTGGGGCATATTTAAGACCACAAGTCCCTCTCGTTAAACCAAAACCGGCCAGCCAAGTCTATAAAAACGTCCGTTCTATCTGATGACTCATTTTACTGTTTTTCATTCAAGTGCATTGTGTCAGTATACATTTATGAATAAACAATTTCTTTGATCCAAGATCTTGTTCCAACATGAACCGAATGTGGCTTAATAATGCTCAGTGAAGTTCAGTTTCTCTGTCGAGTGACAGAACTTGAAGCGAGACACACTACTGACAAGAGACGTAAATTCTAACCATGAAGCTCTGTCTGATGTTCTTATCCGTTGCCTTTCTTGGCGCGATGGCCGCGAGACTCCCACAGAACGATCAAAAGGGGTCTGGCCATAAAACAGGTACGTTTGCTTGCATTGTGTATTATTTTTTTTGTTTGTTCGCCGCGATTCCTGATAGATCTCGTTCTGCTAACAGCCAAATTCGGTAGGCAAAACGATGAAAAGGGAACTCGGCGGCTGAAAACCGAGCGAATTATTATTGCAAAATAAACTCACCGCCGACCGACCATACCGGGCGCTAACGCTTCTTTGAAGGCACGAGACAGTTTGCTATACGAAGAAAGAGTAGTTTCAACGCTGATTGCACAGTGCTTTAACAGTCAAAATAAACATCGTTTAGAAGAATTTCTTCATTGAGACGCGTAGGATCCGGACATACTTACTTTCCTGTACATGGCTAATTGCCTGAAATACAGCTCGCTAACTGTGTACAATGCGCTGCAGCTCGTTCAACTAAGGTTTGTACCACCGAATGCTTCTCTCAGCAACTTTAGCCAGATAATTATAAGGCGTCCTAATGATACTGAATGCCTCTGAGTGTGCTTCGCAACTTGTACGTTAATTAATTGTTTCGCTTTAGTGAGTTTTCATCAGTTTTGAACACATGAGTTTTTCAGTGTTTATTTTTGAGTTTCAAGTTAATTGCCACAACTTCAGAGACGAAAAATCTCACGTTTATCTTACAATACTAGACAGTTTGCAATTTACAACATTATAAGAAACGTTGTGGTTAGAGTTAGAAACAGGAAAATGAGATGAGGGACAAATTGGCAACTCACATGCAATGCACTAGATTAAGTCTATAAGAATGAAACTACATGAAACTACTTGCATTAACTAGAGGTATTAGCTTAGTTAGCATTTACTTACATGTTCAGGTTTCAAGGTCGAGCTTCCAAACACGAAAATTTAAGAGGAATTTTTGAAAGTGATCTTGCGATTTTTTGCACCATCTTATACCATTTCATTCAGTTACCTCAGTCATTGGCCTTAGAATGGCAAATTAAAAACTTCTATCGAAATTTATCGTTAAGTCCCTGTTTAGCTCAATCAAAAACGAGCTCTTCGGCCCCAGCTTTCACTTGCAAGTTTTTAAAATAATCTGACACAACTTACGTGCTTAGAATTATTTTATTGTACGAAAGTCAATGTAAATGTATCTACGCAGATTAAATGTCATAGCTTACTAAAACAGGCTTGTGGCGAATGAGTTACTGCTAGTCCTAACTTAATCTAGTGTAAACCTGAAAATCGTTGTATTTATGATGATTTTTTTCCTTCAGATCGTTGGCGCAAACTGAATTCCGGACCAGTGTGTTTTGGCGCGAGAGATAACCAGTTTGGCAGGTTTTATATTCCGCCTGGTGGTGGCAACGTGGGCGCTCTAAAACTGGTGCACCTGTACGGGTACGTGTCCTGTGACACTCGATATAAAATCCACTGGTCTTACTGGGGCTGTGCTCACCATGGGGGCATTAAAGAGAAGATTTCCGTTGCCATAACAACCTCGAGTAATCACATCATTCTGCCAGCGAGTCAGCTAGTCCCAGATTCCAGTCTATGGACGACAATTCCTGGGTACGACTCACAATCTCCAGAGATTATCCTGTCGTTTTTCAGCCACCCTCGTCCGATGACTTCCGGTGAAGAGTTACACTTGTGGTACGGTGAAGATCTCGCGAGTCACACCGAGGGAGATAACGGAGGGCGAGTCTGCTGCGATGTCTACGCTCTCTTCATCTAAGGGA